CTTGACGCGCATCCCAGTGGGCAACAGGGATACCTCGCACACTCCAGTAGGGGATCGCAAACCGTCCCTATTCTCCCCGTGTCCCATCCTACTCGTCCTCCAGACCTCTTCAACAGGTCGAGGCAATCACGCCGCAGAATGGTCCATAATCCGGACCGTGTCCACAGCCCACTTATTACAAACCAGATACCCAAATTAGAGCCCCTCACAATCCAACAGCATTGCAATTTGCGCAAGAGTGATCATGTGTTGTCTTTCGATATCATAGTCCGCTGGCCCAGATGCGTTACACCGTGTCTTAGGGAGGTTTGTTCTTTTAAAAGAACAAACTTTAACAACCTGAGGCATTTCCTCCGAGCCCATACCCCACAAACCAACCAGGTAAGTGACGTAAACATCTTGAGTAGCACAATAGAGCGATGTATCCGCGCAGAGGACCATCTGCGGGTGCCCCACGTCTGTAAATCTTCATCAAATAAACACCGCTTGCCGCGTGCCATCCGTCAGCTTTTAGAAGAACGTTCGCGGTCCTTTGCTCGGTACAAATTGACGAGTTTGATGGAAGATGCCAATGATTTCATCCGCATTCGCAATTTATGCAAAGCAAGGATCTAACAGTTCCAGAGAAACCAACAGAACGGCATTTGAGCCAGGGCACGGGTAAACCGGTCAGTCCTGTACCAATTTATACGACGAACCCGGCAAAACACTCTATCCGCCCTTGCCCTATCTAAACCCGACGGTACCACAGCCACCTCATCTGCAGAAGTGGCGGAAATGTTCCGGTCCAATTCCGAGCAAATTTTTAACATTCCATCTCCAATCAGTCACTCTAACCTTCATCCCGTAACCTACAGATCCCCGTTAGATCACTTTGTTATAACAGTCTCAGAAGTGGAAGAACAACTAAAACGCGTAAACTCCTTCAGCTCCATGGGTCCGGATAAAATCCACCCCTGTATACTGAAGGAATCCGCGGACGTGTGGGCTGCCACATATGCCCATCTCTTTCACAAGTGCTTGGACTCAGGAACCCTTCCATAACAGTGGAAAAGAGCAACTGTTATCCCTATTTATAAGAAAGGCGATCGACACTTGCCTACTAGCTATAGGCCCATCAGCCTAACCAGCATTCTCAGTAAGATCTTCGAGCGCCTAATTAAACGGCGTATTCTAGGACATCTAACTGAGAGCGGCTTGGTACGCGCTTCCCAACACGGCTTCCTACCAAACAGGTCATGCATCTCCAATATGCTGACCTTAATGGATAGCTTAACCCATGCCTATGACGAAGGTCATATTTCTCACGCGATCTTCATAGACTATGCCTAAGCCTTCGACCGAGTGCCACACATCCCTCTCCTGTACAAACTAGAGAGTTGTGGCATCACTGGCCGATTGCTTTCCCTGCCTACTAGTTTTCTGTCGAATCGCTCCTTCGCGGTTCGAATAGACACATCCATTTCTTCACCCTTCCCAATCTTAATAGGAGTCCCTCAGCGCTCCGTACTAGATCCCATCCTATTTCTGATCTATATTAATGATCTCCCTAAACGTCTCCCTAGAGATTGCCATGTACGCGGATGATGTCACTACCTGGGGCACAGACGCATCCCAAGTGCAGTCGGCGATTGAC